TCCATGGAGGAACTGACTACAAGGCAGCAGGAACAGAGCCAGGCAGGGGACTACGTGTTCCCTCATGTCTAGTTGCCAAGGCCTCCTCTCCCCAGGGATGAGAAGCTGCAGGAAGCACAGAGTGGAGGCCAGCTGAGAGGGTACATGTGTGAGGCAAGCAGCTGGTATTTGTAAGGAAGTGGCTTCTTCATCAGCCACCATCACAGGAGAAAAAGACCCAGTGATCCTTGTTAAAACTAAGGAAGTCATTACAAACAACCACAGAGAGAAAGAAACAACCACAGGCAGGGAGAGACAAGCCAGACCCACAAACAAAGACAACGAAAGAAAGAAGGAATAGACAAACAAAGAATGCAGGGTATGTGTGTGTGTGTGTGTGTGTGTGTGTGTGTGTACAAAAACAAGAGGAAAAAACAACAGATAAAAAAAAGACTCTTTTTTTTTTTCTAACAAGGATTCTAAATAAACCAACGTAGTAGGGTTATAGCTGGCATTGCTGGACATTTCCTAGGGGACGACAGAGAACGAGAAATAGCTCAGAGGTCCACAGTGATTGAACATAAGCCCTGAGTGGGTCATTCTTTGGTGCAGATTTTGACAGGGAAACACACAGGTGGTTGAGAGGGTTCAGGGGCTTGAGGAAAATCTGGCTAAACTGAGGCTGGGGATGGAGCACTCACTTGGCATTCACAGGGCTTGAGGTTTGATTCTCAGTACTGCAAAAACAATAACAACAATAAAACTCTAATCTTTGGACCAGCAAAAAACCGATGCCTCCCACAGGCACCTCAAAAATAAGGACTAGAGCAGGCAGCAGCGGAGAAGGAAGCACACTCCCACTAAGTAGGCCTTTAACCTTAGCTGAGTCACTTGTCTCTGAGGCTGGGCTTCCTTAAGACTAGAGTCCAGGAAAGTGAACTTCAGTTTACATGTATGTTCTCAATACTGGGATTGAACTCAGGGTCTTTGTACCCAGCTACATTTCCAGTCCTTACATTTCTTTTTTGTTTTTTTAAATTTTGAGGCAAGGTTTCTGTAAGTTACTAAGTTGCCCAGGCTGATCCCATACTTGCAATCCTCCTGCTTCAGCCTTCAGCAGAGGCATGCACCACCACACCTCGCTTCTTTCAGATACGCTTATCAAATGCATCCTACGCACCATCCCTCGACTCAACTCTGTAACTACAAAGATAAATGAAGCCCAGTATCCACCTTTCTGAAGATGAAGGAGCCAAGAGCCCTTGAAAGAGTGCAAGGGAGTTAACGGCCATTGGCAGGGGAGGAAGGGATGTTGAGATAAGGAGAATGGACATTGGAGGTGGGGCAGGGGGAGGGGAAGGTTATGGAGAAAGTCCAGAAAAGGAAGCACAGTTCAAAAGTGTAATTTGTGGTTTTGAACATTTCAGGTATAGAAAAGCTCTGGCTAATGACAAGAAGACTCTGTACAGACTTGACATTGAGAATGCATTTTTGCCAGCTCACCCCTGAATGCCTACAGATCACTCCCGACCATCAAAACAGCTAAGCTCATAGCAGTAGTCGCTGTTACCAAGTCTTTCAGTGATTTCTAGGATGCAACATCCATAGAAGAGTAAGTGATCAGGGCTCCCTGTGTCTGAGCCTGTTATGGTTTGTGCCTAGTTACTGCCCCAAAGCCTCATGCAGTCATTAGGGTGGCTTCTAGGGTTTGTGATTAATTCATAACCCAATGTGGGGATTATGGGTGTGAGTGTTCACTGCCTGGGGCGGATAATCTGCGTACAATATAAGGAAGGGAGAGGGGCTTGCTAGCTGCAGCAGCCACTGCTCTTCCCTTTTGGCTTTTGCTCTTTGCTGTTTTCTGCTGCCAGGAACTGCTGTCTTCTGTGATGTGCTGCTCTGTCTTGGAGCCAGCTAACTACGGACTGAAACTACCACTAACTGTGAGCTAAATAAGCCTTTCCTTCCTTAATTTTGGGTGTCAGGTATTTTGTCTGAGCAACAAAAGTAACTGAGACAGAATTTGATACCAAGAAGTGGCATTGTCGCTATGACTGTACCACATCGGTCAAAAGCCTTTGGGGAGGGGGCGCGGACATGGCTCAGTGGAATAAGTGATTCCCTGGCAAGCACAAGGGCCTGAGTTCAATCCCTGGTGAAAAAAAAAAAAGACTTTGGGATGCCTTATGGGAAGAGACCAAAAAGATTTGGAGATGTCACCTAAAACAGAAGCACTGCAGCTATTCTGTATGGGAGAGTCTGGGAAGAGCTCAGAAGACCAGGATTTCTGGTAGAAATCCTGCCTGTAAATACCAGGTTGGGGAGGTTTCTTTTGGGAAGAAGGACTGCACTGGTTGTTGGACGCCAGGCAATGTGCGTTATTGCTTGGAAAAAAATTTGTCTGCATTTTGCTCCCATTCAGAGACTTTACCTGAAACTGAGATTAAGCAGTGGACTGATCAATATTGCAAAAGAAATTTCAAGGCAGTCAAATGCTGATGCAGTGGCATGGCTATTGTTGTCAGCTTTTAGTCAGATTTATATTGAGAATCAACAGCAAAGAACCCAGAAGGATGATGTAAAATATGAGTTTGTCCAGGAATGAAATGCCAATAAAGTTGTGGACTGCAAAGATAGAGCTGAGAGGATCTCCACTGCTGAGCAGAAACAAGAGAATGGAAAGGATGGTCTGGAGGCAACACAAGCAGCAGCAGAACTCCACCCTTTACAGCCTCAAAACTGCAAAAGTGAAAGACCTTACTCTGAGGAGAAAGAGGCAGAGCACCATGTTCCAGAATGGTGGCAGCACAGAGAATTTGCTCCTCAGAATCAGGGTCAGAGTGTTTAGTGATCCAGGCACTCAACCTGTACAACCAAGAGAGAAGAAAACCTGGCTACTGATCCCACGGCAGCAGACCTTGGCATCATCCACATACGACTGGTCTCAAGCACATGCACAATGCAAAGGTTCAGAGGTTAAGAAGGCTTCCACCTAGACTTCAGAAGAAGGCCTGGGTGACAGGCAGTGTGCCCCTGGGAAGGCACTGTGTGAAGCTGTGAGTGAGAAGCCTAACATGCAATAGAGATCCCGGAAGTTTGAAAAATCCAGGAACATAGGTCATCTTAAAAAAGATGTAAGAAGACAGCAAACCACGCCTGAGAGAGAAGCCATGGGAGCTACCATTAAAAGTGCCACAGAAGTGGAGCCACATGGAGCTCACAACTTTCCAGATTGCTTATGCCTAGGAACATAGCTATGAGGATGCAGGATCTGAACCCAGACCTATTCATCCTATCGTTGTCCCTGCAACTTTCCTTTTGTGAAGCCAGTGAGACCTTTCTCTTTCCTTTGCTTTTTAAGAAAGGCTACCTTTTCCCATTAGCAACAGCTCAGTATCTTAATAAAAGGTGGGTAAAATGAGTCTGATTTAAATTAGTGGGACATGCAGGGGCCAGGGATTCAATCCCCAGGCCTGCCACACCAGCCCTGCCCATGGGGCATGCTAAGACAGCAATTGAGACTGGGAGTGGTGGCATGTGCCTGTAATCCCAGCTCTTGGAAGGCTGTAAACAGACAGATCACTATGAGTCTGATCTATTAGTGAGACCCTGAATACCCTGTAGACCCTTCCCTAAAATACAGGGAGAAAAAAATTTTTAAAAATTAAAAATAAAAAAATAAATTAGTGAGACAGCAGGGACTTGGGCTTTGGACCGAGGTGTGTTACTGTGGGTGTCACTCCACTGCTGGGCATTTGCCTTGAAAAGGCAGCCCTGAGCCTGTTAGAGCTCAAACAGCATCTCCGTTCTCTGCTTCTTCAGGTTCCAGAGGGTCCTACATGAGAGCCTGTATCAAAACACTGACAGCGACAGTCCACTAGCCAAATGTAAGAGCTTTTCAGTATTAGTGTCCCTGAAAAGTTACTTACTGGTTTTACCTTGACACCCACAGGTGGAAATGATACAAACACTACCCTTCTTCACTCTCATCAAAATAATGCCATATGGGCCTGCAATCATACTGACCACCACTCAGATCAGGGATGGGGAGGCCAAGATGCAATATGGAAAGTTAACATGTCCAGGGCATCTAGTCAATAAATATAGACACTAAGGTAGGCGCTGCACATCCACAGTCAAGATATGGTCCTTGCCCTCACAGAACTTACTAGTGGGAGGTTATGGACACAGCAACGCTGTTTATGAAGCAGCAAAGTCAGAAAGCAATGAAAGTGGACCTGACTGTCTGGGGTGAAGATACTGGGGAGAGGGACCAGGGCAAGACCTGAGATGAGGTTAGCAGCTGCCCACCCACAGTAGTCATGAGGCACGGAGAGGGGCAGTGCCTACTCCACTTAAGATGTGCTGTTACTTTGGGGAATTATTAACCTGCTTTCATCACACTACCTGCCTCATTTTCTGCAAACAACCCAAGGTAGAGAAACACCAAACCTGGAGAGTAAATCTGTACTTTCAAAGCATTTACTTTTCTTTCTTCGGGGTGTGTAAGCCTTCCCCAAATAGCTGGTATATCTGGAGAGTGAGGTTTGTGTCAGAGCTGTTGTTTCCATTCCCCACAGTGACTAAGTGGACACAATAAAGGTTAGCTAATTTGATAGAGTAGCATCTCTTATTACCTATTAATACCATTTTATCTCACAGATTGGTGAGAACAATGATAACAGCTGTAGAGCAATGAGTTAGTTCTCTACACCATAAACACCACCCAAACCCTTGAGTCCTCTGGGTCCAGGCATTTTGGACATGTTTGACTACAGCGTCTTTGGATTAAATGGAAGCCAAGCAGTTATTGTTGAACTCCACTGCCACCTACTGTATATGTCATAAAGTGCTCACCACCTCTGCCCATGTTCTATTTTTTACCATTGAATTTTTATTTTCCTCAGCCCTTACGGGGATTCCATGCTTTGAGCTCCACTTCACAGAAGTAATTACCTAATGGTTTCCAGTGTTGCATTTTAACAATCCAGCAGATACTGACCATTTTCCCTTAGGGGCAAAAACCAAAGCTTAGGGCTTTACACAAAGCTTTCCCTGATTCTTCATCCTGGAACTAAATGCTCCCTTCCACAACTGGTAACTGTTATAACGAAACACATAAACGAAAGATAAAAAATTCCAGTTAAAAAATACTCAAGATGATTTCCCTTATCATCCCGTTTCTGTTGGTGTTTTTCTTTTGCAGACAAATAAGCTACATTGTGCTTGCTGGGGTAGCAATTTTGTACACAATTTTGCTTCAAGAGGAGAACATTTCCAAAAGGACAAAGACAAAATAAGCTTAAGCGTGTTGATCTGGTGAGGTCTGGTCTTTGAACACATTGAGGTTTTGGCCGACTCACAGTTCTGAGGTACCAGATGGCGAGGGCTTCAACGACTAATGAAGTAAAAGCTGGCCAGGACTCAAATATATTTGCCTGCTATTTCCTTTAGAGTAACAACGTCAGTTTAGTGGGGGAACGGAGGAGGTACAAACAAGGAAAACTTATACTAGTACAGCTCTGGCGTAGCTGGGGTGCCAGAGCGTAGCTGCGCTCACTTGCAGCTAGCGGGGAGCTGCGCAGTAGCGACCAATCCTGGATCCTCTGGCAAATCCTTGCAGGGACATCCCTTCCCCTCCGTGCAGCGAATCTGCACCCATCTAGCTGCCCTTGCCAGGCATTTGGATGCTTTCTTGCTCCTTGCTCAAGGTCACAACGCCAAGGCAGCTCCTGCGTCCGTGGACTTTTCCCTGGTCACGTTCACTGATTTCTCTTCACGGCGAATGCATAAAAACCGTCCCAGTTGACCGCAGTGCCACGCCCTGAGACCTCTTGAGAAGCTGTTACTCAAGTAAGGGAGAAAGGAGGGGGACCTCTTCTCATCACCTCTTCCTGGGCGTTGTCCAAGGAGGTGTGCGGCGGGAGGGCGTAAAATCAAAGCACTTTCCTAGTAGGAACAAATATTCCAGTCGGGTTGTGTTTCCGGAGGTATTCGGCGGACCCGGCGGAGACGAACTTCCGGTGCTGACCTCGCAGTCTTCCGAGTTTTCAGCTCGACTGTTTCCGCCCGGAGTTACGATGGACTGCAGTTGAGAACGGCTCCTTCCGCCAGGAGTGCCTAGCGGCTCGGGCTGGACAGCTGGCCCTTCAGTGGCCTTCTCCTTCTTCCTCCAGCTTGCCCGCCCGAGCCCTGGTGCCTTGGCGGCGGCGGGCTGCTGCGGAGCCAGCCGCGGCCGTTCTCTGCGGCCGAGTCAGGGGCCTGGGAGAACGAGAAGTGCCTGCGAGGCGCCGCGGCCCGACCCAGCCAGTCTGCGGCGGCGGCCGAGAGCGTCCCTTGGGCCTCGCCGCGCCCACCGGCCTGGGGCGGGGCCGCCTCCTCGCCCGGGACTGCGCCCCGCGGCCCATCCGGTACCCGGCCGTCCTTGGCCAGCCTCAGCCTCGCCGCGGTGTGAGCGCCCAGCCCCTCGGGGACCCGGCCGCCCCCTGGCTCGGGCCGCAGGGGGAGCATGGAGTTTGCGGAGCTGATCAAGACCCCACGGGTGGACAATGTGGTGCTGCACCGGCCTTTCTACGCGGCCGTCGAGGGGACCCTGTGCCTGACTGGCCACCACCTGATCCTGTCCTCCCGGCAGGACAACACGGAGGAGCTATGGCTCCTCCATTCAAACATCGACGCCATCGACAAGCGGTGAGTCGTCTGGGTCCTGCGGTGGCTCCCGAGGAAAAGCTTCCCGGGGGTTTTCTGGCGTCCTTTGCCCCCCAGCCTAGTTCCAGGATTTGAGTGGCGTTTTGTGGCCTAGATTCAGGAGTTGAGGCGTAGCGAACGAAAAGGTGTCCAAATGGGATGCCTGATTTCAGTTAAATATGGGTGAAGTTCTAAATGATCACTCGGTTATCCTGCTTATTTTGGGAACATAGCACCTTTCGGTGGATTTTCATTGATTTAAAATTTTGCCTCCTTGTGAATCAACGTTCATGAAGTTGTAACTGGGTGAGATTCGATAGTCTTTATCACTTTGGGGCAAAAGTCAAAGAACTGAGTATGTAGTTTTCAGGGTCTGCATGCTAAAAGCCATTTTATTTTCCTCTCAAAAAATGACCAGTTTAAGCTGGGTGTGGTGTTGCACACCTGCAGTCTCTGTGCTCAGAGAGGCGGAGGCAGGAAGATCACCAGTTTGGAGCGCATAGTGGGCAGTTTAATGAGACCTTGTCACAAAACAGCAAGAAATCTGGAGATGTAGTTCAGCAGAAGGCCCGGGTGTAGCAGTCCCCAGTATGGGAGTGGGGATCAGGTCAGTATAGCTATTTCTTACTTCTTACCTTTCGCTCATCATTTTAATATTCCCAGGGAGGGAAATTAATGTCTCTTATTCATCTTTACTCAGTTCTGCTTTTGGAAAGAACAGAGGAACTAATCTGTACTCAAGGAACTAATCTATCTGTTAAAAGCATGTCATTGGGTGGCCGGGGAGATGACTCAGTGGAATAAGCGCTTCCCTGGCAAGCACAAGGGCCTGAGTTCAATTCCCGGTTGGGGGGTGGGGGGGAAGCATGTCATACTTTTTGATTTTTGCAAAGTCAAAATCTCAAAGTCAAAAATTATACTGTACTTCCACGGGCACTAAATTTCCCATCGCCTCAGTGTTCCTGTGTGTTCTAGCTGGGAGAAGAAAAATTAATCATCTAGTTTACATTAATGACAACTTCTTCCACTGCTGCAAGGAGAATTTGTATATTAAGAGATTCCTGCAGAGCATGAGCCTTTCATCTTAATGGTCGACTTTGTCGGTTTGGCTGAAGCAGTGGTAGACTGCATTCATTCCAACAAAGGGCACTTACTAGATTCCTCCAGTCATCTTCTCTGACACAAAGCTTTCCAGTGGTCTCTTCCTTTCTGTGTGATACAGTCGTACCTCCTTAGCCTGGCATTCCTCTCACTTCATTTTGGCCCTAACCTGTTTTCCTCTATTTTTATTTTATTTTTTGTGGAATGAGGAATTGAACCTAGTGGTTTTACACGGAAACACTGAGCTACCCCCATCGCACTTAATGTAGGGTTTTGGAAAGTCACTAAATTGTCCAGGCTCTGACTTGTGATCTTCCTGCCTCAGCTTCCCAGAGGGCTGCAATGGCAAGGTATGTGCTGCTGCATCAGGCACATTACTACTCGCCATTCCATTTCATGAACTTTCTTCCATTTCTTTTCATGATCTGTTTTTACTAGCTAATCATCATGTATTGTTGCTCATAAAAGCCTTGCATTCTGTTATCCTTTTACTTTATTGACCTCTTTTGTGGGAATGCCATGCTCCTCCTGTTTATTAAACATTTATCAACTGCCTTTATGTTCCAGACATTTTGTGAGGCAGTAAAGGTATAGGATGAATAGAATGTAGCTCTTGTTTTTCAGGAGGTGATAGGTTATCACGTTTGTTACTCATTGATCAGTATTCAGTTTAACCAGTTCAGCTGCCATCGTTTTCAGATTTTCTGTGAACACACAACTTCACAGGGAAAGCACAACTTCACACAACTGGAAGCAATTCCTTGAACCTTGAAATCTTGTAACTACGTAATTATATTTCTTTCATAGTAAGTATTCAAATTTTCACATGTATTTATATTAGCTTTTTGAAGTCAGAACTCACATCTGATTCTTTTTTATCCTCCTCAAGATTCCTCTGTAGCTTGGGCTTATAGCATAAAGAAATAAGAGCAAGATTGGCCCTTGAATGGCCATTGCCACCAGAGAGTACATATTCACAGTCTCTGTGACCATGACTCTTTCCAGTTGACTTTCTTTTATGGTTACTCTCTATTCGTGCACTTTCTCATATTAGCATTACTAGGTGCTGGAGTTTATTATGGTATAAAGAAGAAGCTGTATAAGCCAGGACATTTTAATCTTATGGAAGATGTGACAAGCTGTAGACACATGGGTCCTTTTCCTGGGAAGCAGTGTGATGTAGTGGGAAAAGCATGATTGTGATTAGGTAGGAGTTTAATTGTTGCCCTCAAGTGGTATTTACTTGTGTTCTTCTGAGCATTACGTGGTGGAATGACGACGACTCTGCAGGTGGGATGATGACTGAGGCAGGTAGGTGCCTGTATACCAGGGAGGAGACGGACTAAATAAATCCATTGGCAGATACAGAAAAGGCAGTGTCAGCTAGTAGGTGACAGAAGGGGAAATAAAGGACTTTAGAATGGAAATGACATTCGATTAGGGACCTGAAGGAAGGGAGGTTCTATCTGGAGGGAAAGTGTTTTAGAGAACAGTGATTGTAGACAACAGTGAATGCAGAGTTTGAATCAGGCCCGTGCGTGACATCTGCAACTGAAAGTGCGCCAGACAGCCTTCCCTTACTTGATGACACAACATAAAGCTTGACTTGACTCTTGTTCTTGGGAGAATCATGTCACACGTGGCTGGCTCCAAGACAGGAGCATTGTAGCGGGAGTGCGTGGCTGAGTGAAGCTGTGACTTCATGATGGCCAGAAGCAGAGCAGGGAACAGTGCTGCAAGGAATGCGCAAGGGTTTCAGATATGGTATTCGAGATCCTGTCTCCAGGACCTACCAGGACACACTCTGAAGTGTGTTCCACTAAACCCAGGGTGTATCCTAAGCAGTTAAATTGATATGATCAGGCTTACCTGTCACATCCCACCCCTTGTCAGCAAGGCACCCAGATAAATCCCCTTAAACCATTCTTAATTGCCAAATAATCCAAAGTCATAATTTCACTTAATAGAATGTAGTTATGATATATGAATATAATATAGTTATATTCACTATATAATATTAATATATTAATGCTCACTTAATATAATATAGTTATGATATATGAAACAACAAACACCTTCCCCAGAGTGACAACACTTTTAACGTTTTCCAAGAATCTAAGTCTTCTGAGACTATAAGCAAACTCTTCGCTGTGGTCCTCTGTAAAAATCAGTTACATAATCACAAGGTATGATGGCACAGGATAAGCATTCATATTCCAAAAGGGAGGAAGAGGGAGGCAGGAAGAATGAGACCAGTGCAAGACTGAAAATTGGCAGTGTAGTCATTAAGTGCTCTAGCTCCATATTCAGTGTCCGGGGCACAGGGTGGTAAAATGGAGTAACAAAGGGTTTGGATAGCTTTACTTCACTTCAGCCTACACACAGCCTTTCTCTCAGGCTGGCTGTGCTGAGCGCCTGTAGCTTTCTTCAGCAGATGTTCCGTGTTCCAGCTTCCTATAGTCTCCATTGCACCTTTGCCTTCACCCTACAGCTTCTTGTACTGCCTTCTCGGGCTTCTTGCCTGGTCTCCCAGCCATTCATTCCTTTGAGATCTTAGGAGAGGCGTCTCTGACCCCACAACTCTTGCATTCTGCCTTCTGGTAAAACTAGCATCGCATGGACTAGCCTGCCGCCAGCACAGGGAGTTGCCAAATGAGGGCTGGGCCCTCTTGGACCATGGCAGCAGCAGCCTGTTGAGTGTCTGGATGCCAGCATAGTGAAACAAATCCTGAAGAACCAGTTCCCTAGGCAGCTTTTCTCAGTGAGGAGGTCTAGGGCTCTCCTCAAATGAAAGGTTTTCATGTTTGCATGGTTAAGCTCTTGCTTATTCCTGAGATGTCCTCAAGCATCTTTTTTCATTGTCCTTGTACAGAGTATTTGGTTCCTCTTCAATGGCATTGATCGCTTTTAACAACCACATGTCCTTCGGCCTTCACTTATGTATATGATTCCTCCTGAGACAAAATTGTTTTTCAGATTTTTTGCCTCTGGTTTTTGCACTTGGTTCTCATTATAAAATGACTCAAAGCAGTCAGCAAAACCCACATCAAGCCTGAATGTTGGACCTCATTGAAATTTTTCTGCCAGTAGTCCATTGCCCTTAATCTCAGTCTCTCAGAAAGTCTCAGGGCATGGGCAAAATGTAGACCTTGAGCTGAGGCGGAGGAGTGATAGAGTAGCGTGGCAATGTTTCTCCAGTATTACTTGAACGAGCAGGGAGACCGGGTGTATACGTTGAAGAAATTTGACCCAATGGGACAACAGACATGCTCAGCCCATCCTGCTCGGTTCTTCCCAGACGACAAGTACTCGCGACACTGAATCACCATCAAGAAGCGCTTCAAGGTGCTCATGACCCAGCAGCCACGTCCTGTCCTCTGAGGAAGGTTCCTCCTGCCTCCTGTCTCGTCTGCCTCCTGCTGCCCTTCGAGACTCCATAACCAGCCGTCAGTCCGTGAGCCCTGAAGGCTTCTTAGCATCAGCATCTTTGGAATCCAGTCTCTTCATTGCCTTTGATAATGCAGTGTGTGGCAGTAATGGTGGCATCCCCGTTAAAGGAAACATGTTTTGAATTATGCCAGGTCATTAAAGATAAAATAGTTCGGGAAAAAAAAAAAAATGTAGACCTTTTTTGGGGGATGCAGAATGTAACACACATGTCCTTTGGTCCAGTTGCCAGTTGTTCCTAACTGAAACTTCCTGAACCTGGCCTTACTGTCTGCTGAGTTACCAGCATTCTGGTCTTGTGTTTGCCAGTCGGAATTACCCATCAGGCTCTGCTTACGGTATTTTAAAGCTCCTCTATCTTGCATCTTCAAACCTTTTTGGATTCCTCCTGCAGACCAGTCCCAAAGGCTTATAAGCCATGTTGTCAGTACAGTCATAGCAATGGCCCCACTCAT